CCACTCCTATAAAGTGTTATGTCTATGAGAAACACAAACCTAGCTAAAAAGTTGCTTGCAAAGTGTTATAACTATTGCAGATTTTCTTGAAGGGCCAGGGAAGGAAGAATCACATGGTTCAACATTTGTAAGTCTTCTTGGGACTCCTCATTACCCTTGTCTCTCTCCAAGGTCCTTCTTTTCTCAGAAATTGTGTAACTATTCTTCCCAATTCTCCATTCCCCATCTCTGCCTCTGTCTCTGCTGCTTTATTTCTCTCTCCTCTTCTCTCTCTGCCTCTGTTTCTCTTCTCAACCACATACTGGTCCTCTTCTCCTCCTTATTATCTCCATACAGCTTTTTCTTGAAGAGAAAAATTTGGTCTGTCCTTGGTTTCTACCATTTTCCATTCCTTTACCACTCAGCCTGGTCACACAACAAAGTCACTCCATTCAGCATAGGTAGTGGATTCTTCCTTTTGGGAGTGAGTAGAGGGACATTTGCAAGAACTGTTGAAAACTATTAGCTTTATGTTTTCTTTTGTCCTTGTCATACTATATTATGGATCTAAAATTCTGTTCTTTATCTAATGCGGCGATTAGTAGGGAATTCCCTAGTTCCCTAAATGCAGTGATTAGATAATGCTCTTTTAACAAGCACCTTAACATAATGTTTAAACAGAATTACATGTTTTTTTACCCATGTAAAGTTCAAAATAGGTATTTCTGGTTGGTAAATGGCTCTCTTTCAAGGGTGCTCCATGGGTACAGGCTTTTACCCTGTGTCTGCTATCTTTAATGTGTGACATCCAAGGCCACCATACTGTGTGCCTGTATGAGGGGGAAAGAGTATGAAGGCTCATGTATGAAAGTTTTTCATGGGTCAGTCTCAGAAGTGGTGCACATCTCTTCTATTCAATGATTCCATTGGGCAGCCCTTATCCACATGACAACTCCTAACTGCAAGGGAGGCTGAGACATGCAATGTAGCTGTGTGCTAAAAGAAGAGAAGGCATGATTGGCTAATCTTTTCTATACCTTATTTACAGTTTGATACATTAGAGCTCTGGCCTTTCCACAAGTTTTCTTTATTCATTAAGTTTATCAAAGATGACTGGATTTGGCAGACTTTAACCTCTTGCTTAGAAACTGGAATTTTTTTTACAGTTAGGACACCTTTATTATACATTTATGTAACTCTCTAATGTTTTTCTACCTCAGACCAAAACAGTGCCTGATACATGTTAGTTGCTTAGTGAATATTTGTTGAATTAAATGAATACATGATTTATCATCCCATGCCTCACTGACACCCCTCCTCTTATAGGAATATCTTTGTAGGAAAGATCATTTCATATAAACTAAAAGAAGAGTTCCTTCCTTCTTCAGTAATTGCAATAGTGTCAATGACCTGTACAGCTCCAATAATTTGTTTCCTTTGCTTAGAAAGACCATACTTCTTTACTGAACACTAAGAGCATCTAGTACTGAATATAGGAAAAAGAAATCTGTGCCAGAGGTAGATTTTAGGAGCAGATGTCTTGAGTTCAATGATATTTCAAAAACTTTGAGAGATTTCACAAGTTAGACTGGCTTTTTGATTGTTAGGAAAGGAAGTTCTCCTTATATCAGATCATTGGAGGAAGTGCTTTAACTATTTCATCTAGTTATCCCTTTCTTAACTATTATTAACCAGGTTCCATGTTAGATACTATGGATAAAAACATGAGTAAAACTGTTCCTACTCTCAAGCTCCAGTTTAATGATCATGTTAGAGGTGCCTGACAAGCACATATCAAGGATTTACACTATTTCATGATAAGTGATAGATTTACAGGTTCTGCAAGAACATGGAGGAGGGAAATTATTTTATGCCTGATTAATCAGGAAATGCCTGTGCTTTACAGATTAGAGGGTTCATCCATGTAATCTGATCAACTAAGAATTAGGACAGCTTCATTTATACCCTACTCCTCCGACATTGACTATTTCACTGATCAGAGGCTACCTTGAAACAAATGGACATTTCCCTAATTCCCTACTTCCAGGTTTAAGAGGGGTATATCTGCCTTATTTGGAGAGAAGGAAAGAAGGGAAGTTCTATCTGGGCAAGTCTGAGAGCAGATCCACATTCCTTTCTGTCTCTGAGAAAGACATTTCTCACCATAGAATCTGTTCTTGGATTGCATCTTCTATATTAGCAGAGACCTAACTGTGTTGGAATAAACTAGATCATCACTCTATTACTATGGCATCTCTCTGTATTTATTTGGAAGGGTTTTAATTTAGTAGTGTGTCATTTGGATAACTCAGCAATACAATTAGCAATCCCCTCTTTGTCAAGGACAGCAAGATCAGATACATGATTGTTCCACGTACCTTTAAAAATTCTGCCGTATCTGTCATGCCCTGCTGCAATAATACTCCTCCTATATTTGTCACAAATTGTTGACCTGTGGCAAGTCCTAGTCTCACTTGGGAATTTCCTTCTGTATTCACATTGAATGCATTAAAGCAAAATAATTTTGCTGATTGTTTCTTTAATTTTGTTTTTTCAGTTAAAAAATTAATGTCACTCATAGTTTAAATATAGAGATGTATACAAAATAAAAGAAAAATTATCCATACCAAGGTGCTGAATCCTCAATTAACATTTAAAAAAACAATATATTTAGAGAATAGAAAATTCAAACAGTCCTGATAGATATAAAATGAAAGTGCAGCTTTTCCTACTGCCCTACTGCCCTGCCCTCCTCCCAGATGACTGCTCCTTAAACGTAACCACTGTCAGTAGTTTCGTGCTACTTTTTAGAAACATGTATATATGCATACCAGCATTTGTATGTATTCTTCTTTCACTCGCTCAATAATTTTATTCATTTATATATTAATCTAAAAAGTATTTGCTGAGGACCTATTCTGTGTCATCAGAATTTTGAGCCCTGGAGATATAGCAGTGAACAAAACAGAAAAGGTCTCTCTTGTTATGGCACTTAGAAGAAGAGACAAAAAAATGTAAAATAAATACCCAAGATGACTTCAACTTGTTCAAAATGCTGTAAAGGAGATAGAGTGGTGATGCTATAAGGTAAGGTGGTTAGTGAAGGCTTCTGATTGTACAGTTTATTACCTTCTACTGAACAAAAAAAGAAAACATGAAGTGACTCATTTGATGCTGGATTCTCTTATGCTATTTTTATTTTTAAAGGTGAAGCCCTACCTGCAATCCAGCTGCCCACACCTGCAGTCCAGCACCCAAGCCCCATCACACTTTTCCAGCCCAGTGTCTCCAGTACTGTGCAGGTGGCTATCCAGGCTCCAAGTGTGCCTCTCTGCCCAGCAGTCCCACCCCAGAGCTTTGCTGGGCCCTCCCAAATGAACACTCATCAGCTGTCTTCCAGAGCCACTAGCTTGGTGAGGAGACACACTCCTGTCTCTCAGGAGAGCATCAACAGGATTCCAACTGGTGCAAGTACTACCCATGCCAGATTTGCAACCCCAACCATCCAGCCTTCCAAGGAGTATCTGAGCATTTCTGCTTGTCCCAGAAGTGCTCCAGTCCCCCTGCCTTCTCCTCTCCCATACTCACACATCTACCAGCCTCCTCCCTTTAGCCCTCCAGCCACATTATTTGGGACAACACCGCGATTCTTTTTTCATCACTCTTACTTCCTACCTGGACCTCACTACTTCCCATCAAGGTAAATGAAATTTTTTTTTCCTTTCATCTAAAACTACATACAACTAATGTATTTTTACCTCTGGAAGCATCTCCTTTTTACTGAAAATGGAAGTTCCTTGATTCTGTTTGGAACCTAATTTAGATTAGAGACTGAAGAAGGGCCAAGCAGAATGAGAACTGGGGGAGCCAAAGGGAGTGCATGCCCCATCTAATGGGACAGCTGCTTCTCAGCTCTGGCCTGCTGTTGCCACAGGGGAATACAGGCTTCAGTGTTTTCATATCTGATTTTTCACAAGAAAAATCCATTATAAGAGCCTTTAAGATCATTTAGTCAAACCCCCTTATTGTACAGAATTGTGCTTCTCAAACTTTTATATGTATATGAATCATGTGTGATCTTGTTAAAAGTTCTGGGGTATAGTAGTATCCTGTACCAGGGAATAGTAGGCCTGATATTCTGCATTTCTAACAACTGCCCAAGTGATGCCAGTTCTGCTGGTTTGTGGACCACACTTTGAGTAGCAAGGGTATAGACAAGAGCACTTGGCCTAGAGTTTAAATGAATTGCCCAAAGTTACACTACCTCTCAGTGCTCTTTTTAACACATCAAAAAAATGCCTATATAAATTACCAGTAAAGGAATTGGTTTTCATAGGGAATCATCTGGAGAAAACAAATTTGTAACTTTCCATTTTGGAGTGAGAGAATTTAAATTCCTGGTAAGTATTCTAATAGAGTGACATAAACTTCTACTTTTCAATTGCTGTTAAGTGTGTAGACAGAGATAGTTTATGTCAAGAGTAAAGTTGTACACGTCAGTCTCCAATCTTCTGTTGTTACTTGTTTAGAAAGGATCATCGCCCTACTTGGGAATACCAAGGCCCCAAAGAACTTTAGAGGTATATATTATGTTGCTCCAATTCATAATGGGATTGCTAACTTTCAAGTCCATAGATCAGAACTAGAAAAAAGCGGAACTAGGAGATCAGATCAGGAGAAAAGGAGATTCTGCTCTCTGGGATTTGTTTTGTTTTTCCATGAAGGCTCTTTTTTATTTTGAATAGCTTTCACAAGTCTTTTAGTTCAAGGAATCTAACTTCAAGAGACTCCTTAGGCCAGGGGTTGCTAATCTCTTCTCATTACTATCTACCGGATCTGAGATCTTATAGGAGTTTTAAAGAATATTACAGTGTTTTCTAGAGTGCTAGAAATTCTAAGAGTGCTGAGGACATAGCTGGAATTTAGGATTTGAGAAGATCAGCCTTAGTTAGAACCTTGAGATCCAAAAACTAAAATTGTAAAAATTTTATCTGTGTTACATAATTCACTTTGTAATACAGGAAAGACTTGGACAGTATTTGCTCACAGGAGAGGAGAAAAATATGGCATCTAGAAGGTGTGTCCCACAATTTCACTCTGGTTGTTATTGTTTTCTCTTTTTAGCATTTTGAGAGTTAGGCATTTTTACATATAATTCTCATAATAATCTTGTATTTTGGGTATAATATTCTCCCACTTTTCAGCTAAAGAAATTGATCAGCTAAGTAGCTTTGTTGAGGTCACATTGTTAGTAAAAGGGCAGAGCCAATTTTTACACTTAGGTTTGTCTGTCTAATTTTGAATTCCATGTTTGATTATTTTTCCATTCTATCAGTAATGCTTCTCAATATAATGGCTCCTTTTAATCGGTAGCTGTTAGTTGCTAGCAGAGAATCATATGGAAAACATTTTTAAATGTAAAACTCATGTGGTCAAGTGGATTTTGGGGCAGGTAAATTTTCTTAAATAATACATAGATAAAATCTTAGGAACTATCTTCTTTACTCATAACAAGGCTTACAGTATTTGGTTGTTAACATACAAATCATCTGATAATTTTAAGAACATTTAAAAGGAAGCTCTGGAAAGTAAATTCTTAGAGGATAGAAACTATACCTTTATTTTTAATACCATTATTACTAATTAATACTAATGCTATTGGAGGAACCAAATGAAGTAAATTAGTAGTATTATAGTGAATTTTATTTCATTTAAGAATGTCAAAACAGTATGTCAACTATATGCATTAAACTGCATATAGTTTTCAAAAACTGAAGACCAACCTTATAAATTAAAATCATCTAATTGCTTTCCTAATTTCTACCTGTATGTGTGTGATGATAATTTCTCCAAGGAATTAAATAATCTTATTTACACTTGTTTAGATAGTGTATTTCAGTAAAATCCAGCCTGGCTAAATGACAAATTAATTGATTCCCTCTGATTTTTCTATTGCCTCATCTCCCAACTGATAAAAGAATCCTCTATAAAGAATATTTCTTCCCCATCTACTCCATTTATGTATAGAGTTATTCAACCATTTCAATGCCATAACTGTAATGATGATATTTGGTATATATCAAATGTAAAATTATATTAAATATACCTATTTGATACATATTTATATGTATCATAAACAGTCCATTTTGTCCTGTATATCTAGAAGTAAAAATCAAGGAGGCTAGGCAGTTTAATCAGTCATTTGATAAAATAGATGAACACCCAGAAGGGCTGATCTTCCTTCTTATTCTTGCACATTTCTACTTTCACATGTAAAAAAAATCTAAGATCTTCATTTGTTTGCCATTGAGTAAATAAATGTGTTTAAAAATGTCTATTGCAATTAGGGATATAGAAAGTATATGAAAGATAAATTTAATATCTTAAAATAATACATTTATAGGCTTGAAATACACAGAAAATATAATCAGATATATACATACATATATAGTGGGGGTTGTGAATATAGCATCTTGTAGAACTTTAGATAAACAGATCAAAAGTTAAAAACAATCATCCTATACCTATTTAAGATTTGATTGAAGTTTGGGACTCATTTCTATAATGCACATCTACATACATATACATTCTTTTGCCTAACTTTTATGGAAAGAGGAATTTCCAGTCTCCAAACATGATAGACTTAGCTAACATGGAATATCTTCTGCTGTTAAAGTTAAATACTAAATATTTAAATAAAAACTAAATATTAATACCTAGCTGAATACCAAAAAGGAAAATAAATCCCCCTGGGCCAAAAGGATTGGGATAGTTTTCAGATGGATTGTGCATACTAGAGATGATTTTCAGATTCAGACATAGTTTCAGCCTTTATAAACTTGGGTTTTAATTCCTACATGAGGTCTTGACCCTGCTCAAGGTGGGAAGCTGAAATTAAACCCTCTGCATGAAGCCAGAACCCAGAAAAACTTCTCAACCTTGATAAAAGGAATAAAAAATTTTTTATCATGACCCAGAAAAAACACAAAGAGAAACTTGTTTTTCCCCAGGGCTATATATGGAAAGAAAGGCTTCTGTTGGAAATCATAACCCTATGTTGTATTACACACTGGTTCAGAATCTAAAATCTCCCTAATCCATTTGATAAACTGAGAAATCAATGTACAAATTAGTTCTTAGCTGACTTACCTGGGTAACTGTTCTAGAGGAACACTTCTATCATCCAGGCCACTAGGATTTCCCAAGAGGGAAAATTGTCATTAAAGATGAGCTTTAAAAAACTATAGACTATGAGAAAGGGATTCATTAAAAACAAGAGTCAGTAGACCCTACAAATAGGGCTAACAGCCCAAGAATTTGAAATAACTGAAAATCAGGAAGAGACTAAAAATTAATGATTGAAGAGGACTTTATATCAATCAAGATGCAATAATAGGGATTGAATAGACCCTCACCTGAAACATAGACAAAATATATGAATATATGGTTTTCAAAACACTGTTCATCAGGCAATGAAGGATAGAGATCCCTGAGAGACAGGAACCAATGAGATGAGCCTTGCAATCTACCCAGCTTACTCATGAAGAAACCATGGCACAGGGAGGAGAAACCCAGACATATCCTGCCACACACCCTGAGTTGAGGAGATGGAACTGAAAGTCCAGTGAGACCAAAGTCAGCTGGAAGTCAGGACAGAGTACTGGAGAGGAGAAATCTACACAGAGTGAGACTCTGGATTTCTGCCTAGGTTCTCTCTTGAGTATTGAGTCAAATACCGACCAGTGTATGCTTATGAAGAAAACTACCCAAGGCTGATAGAAGAACTTGAAGATCAGAGAGTACAGTTCCTGGCGCTCACAGGCCACTGGGAATAGTGCCTGTTCTCACCAACCAGACCCAAAAACCTTGATGGGATATTGAGTACTTAGAGGGTCTTGCCTCAGCTAACTCTATACTAAATGTTGCTATGATCCCATCTAAAAAAATCTTAAAATCAAGATCTGAAATGATTATACTTTCTTAAAGTAACCTAACTGCATCCAGAACAAAGCTCAAGAATACTATTAGAAACAATGTAATTAAAAAGATAATTGAGGGGTAGTTCCATTTCTGGGATGGCAACATGAGGAGCTCCATGCACCTGCTTTCCAGGAAACAAGCATAACTAGTGAAAAAAATTATTTTTAATCAACCATTTCAATTATCTGGGAAGTATCCAACAGGAATACAGCAAGTAAAGAAATATTTACACAAGAAAATATCCTAAAACTTGATAAAAACAGCAGGAGTCTGGCACTTGAGCTATGACACATACCATCCCCCACTTCTATCCTGAGTTCAGCTTGATGAAAGCACCGCTCAGTGTGGGTGTAGTGAAGAACAGTTCTCTCTCCCCTCAGTTCCTAACCAAGGGATACAGTATCTTACAGGGAGTGCAGCATTTTTTATCTGCTCCAGCTCTGAGTTAAAGAGGCTAAATTGATAGTGGGTGTGATCAAAAAGTTGAGGGCTCCTTTTGTTCACCCAGACATTACTCGTAAGACAGTAGCTCAGGCCTCAAGATGACAAAGAATTCTGTAACCCTGAGCATGCTTGCCCCAGGTCATGTATAGGAGAGATGTTTTATGCTGCGAGAGGCAAGCCAAGAAGACTAGAGATTTTGCACAGGGGAAGAGTCAGTCCATAAGAACAAAGAGGTCAAAAGCTCTCCCCAAAGGAACCTGACTTTATTGGAAACAG